GTGTTGCTGCGTGTGACAGTAATGAGCTAGAGAAATGCTCAAATGGATAGAATTACAGGCACAAAAGCCCTGTTGAGAGGCACAGGAAAAGCCTCTTCCTTTTTGATTTTTATAGTGATAGAATGAGAGCCAGGCTGTTCAGTGAATGTGGGTCAGAGCTATTGAGACCACTTAGGGGAGATTGGCGGGATCGCATCTGTGCTGGAGATGGGTTGAGGAGGTTATTCTTTGGCACCTAAAAATGCTTTTCAAAAGCCAGTTCCTTTTTTCATGCATGACAGCTTGGAATTGGGTCTTCTTTTACACAGAAAGCTCTTCAATTAAAACTTAGGTGTGAAAAGTACAAGTTGTATGTACTTTTTTACAAGGCAAGGAGGTACCCAGGGATAGGCCAAGCTGCCTGGATTGGGGGCGGGAAGGTGAGAGGACCCAGGACTGAACTGGGGAGCTTCAGGGGGAAAGGCAGAGAGCAGTGGTCCAGAGGTTACAAGGTTACAAGGCTCCCAGATGATGCCTTCAGGAAGGGTTGCCAGGACAGACCCTGGGTTTGGGCCTAAGAACAAGATCTAGCTCTTCACTGGAGTCATCTTTGAAAAAGCAGGTTCTTGTGACTTGAGGCTAGTCCAGCTGTGACCAGGAAAGCCTCTTCCTGTTCCTTTCCCAGGACTCAGCTGTGGTTGCTCTGGGGACAAGGACAGATGCCGTGTAGTTTTGTGCAGTCTGTGACATCTCAGGGGAATAGTGAGGGCAGTTCACAAGCCAGAGTAGGCAGGCTTTAGGATTTTGCTAATGCCGAGTTTGTCAAATGACATATGGTTTTCTGGATGCATCTTACCCCTGATCCCAGGTTTCCTTGGGACCCCAGGAGCATGTCTTCTGGAAGAGCAGGTTATCGTGAAGAAGGCAGGTCTTGGGTAATTCTTCACTTCCAGTGACCTACACATATAGGCTTGTTGGAAAATCTCTAAATCATCATATTGCTGAACTGCTTGTTGGGACCAAGATGCTTCAAACCCACAGTCCCCATTCTCCTTGCAGAGACATGACTCCAAGTCTGTGATAACACTTCTTATCCCATACCCAGGCATAAGTCGTGGATCACTGTTGCTACATAGCATGGCCTCAGGTCCCAGGTCATTCTTTTCTGGTGTTGCAGAAAGTTGTACTAACTGATTGGAGTTGGCACTTGAAATAATATTCATTTGCCATTCCTACTCTTCTCATTTTTAAGGTTGTCATGGCCATAATCCAAAATTGAAATGCACCAAATAAATGAGATTAGACCAAAGCTCCACTTTAATGGGGCATGTGAGGAAAGATGCACACTTTTCCACGTCAGGTGCCCGGGGACTGGCAGAATAGCTGGCAGCAGAGCCAGTTGCAGAGGGTGGACCAGCACACGGAGGGTGGGAACTGAGGCCTCAAAGCTGCAGCCAGTCCAACCCAAGTGGGGAGCCCCCTTAGCATGGAACCTTGTATAAGTGCACTGGTGGCAGGCCCAGGGAACAGCTCTATGTACAGCCTTAATATGAACATGGCTGCCTACACATGTTCCTAGAGGGTCTGTTATTCCAGAAGGGGACAAGGGTCAGGAGCTGAGAAAACATCCTGCAAGACAGTTTTCTAGTGGCTAGTTGGCACATGTTATTTGACATCTGACATTATTATAATGACTCATATTTGGGGCTTCTTCTGGGTGTGAGGGGCCATGAGCAGCTCTGTTGGCATCCTGGGGACCATGGGACAGTCACCATCACTCTGCTCCTGAGCTCTTTGAAACTCATCCTTTCTCTTCTGAAATTCTCTAGTTTCAAGGCCTAAGCATGGGCTTCACAGGTGGTGCAGTGTTAAAGAATCTGCCTGCCAATGTAGGGGGCGCAGGAGATGTGAGTTTGACCCCTGGGCCAGGATCATCCCCTGGAGATGGAAATGGCAACCCACTCCAGGATTCTTGCCCAAAAATTCCCATGTACAGAGAAGCCTGGCAGGCTACAGTCCTTGAGGTCACAAAGAGTCAGACGCAACTGAGCATGAACGCATGCATGAGACCTGCTGGGCTGACCTTGCTCTTCCATCTCCAGAGCACTCTCTCTCTCTTTCCTGGTGCTGCTTCTGTCACCTGCCTCCCTCCAGGTAGGGTGTGTTCCCCTCTCTGCATCCCCAGATTTGGCTCAGATATTTCACTGTTACCTCAAGGCTAGTAGCTCCCAGTCTTCCTAGGGTCAGGAACCCCTGTAAGGATAGTGTCTGATGCTTTTCCCGTAAAACTTTCACATCAGGTCCAGGGGACCCAGGACCACCTGCATGCCAGTAACTTGTGGTGCTTGGTAAAAATGCAGGTTCCTGGGTCTCATTCTAATTCAAACTGGATTAGAATCTCCAGATTGGTCCCAGGTATCTGTATCTTTACAAGCATTCTAGTTGACTCTAGGCCTCAAGTGACTAAGAACTGTAGCCGTAGGATGTCAAGGACATCGGGTCAGGGTCAGTAAACCCTAATCTAAGCACCTCATCATAGCAACATCCTTGGCCCTAACTAACGTGCCCTAAGTATACAGCTCCGGTCAGGACCTCTCTCTAATACTCCTTTGGATGGAAATGGACTGTCCCGAGAACTCTTGCAACCCACTATATACGTTGATTCTTGCTTGTTCACCTTTTTTCTACCAACCTGCACATCTGAATTTGGTTTTATCTGCAGTCCGGATTGACTGTGGATTGATTTCTGTCTGACAGCTATGGAAAGTCCACATTGGATCCTTACTAGGGCGTGTGTGGGGCCATCTGGTGGTTTGACTACAGGCTACCCTGATCCTAGAAAATGCCGTGCCATTTTCAGCAAGTCATTTTTGCACAAAATAGGACTCTCTCTCTATATATATGTGTGTGTGTGTGTATATATATATATATAAAGCATACCATCAAACACTTGCTCTTTTGAAAGTTTTCCTGTCTGTCAAATAGGCTCATCAGTATCCAGGCTCCGAATCATCTTGAGAGGCCTCCTGTTTAGCCTCCAACCAGACACGGAGTCCTGCCCGTTCTTCTGCTGAAAACACCTCTCGCATTTCTAGCTCCCTCTAGAACGCTCCAGTCACCAACCACATATATCTTCAACCTTGTCCCAAGTTTTAACTACAAACATCCTCTGGATATGTTCTCCTCCCCGCCCCCACCCCCGCCTCTTCCTCTCCCTCTCTCATCTCACTCCCTAGTTGTATTCCACTTCCATCGACAGAAAGGATCGCAAACGCGCACTGACTTCAGTGTCATCTTCCCTTCCTAAAACTCTGCTATGGTTCCGCGCTGCCTTGCAGATACTGTCTATGCCCCACCACCAGGCCTTCAAGTGCTGCGCATCCCTCCGCCAAGTACCCCGGCCTCATCCCAACACACTCCAGCTGGGCCAGGTTCCCCCCTCTCTCTCACCCCTGGACCTTTGCTCCAGCCGGTCTCGTGCAGGGGTGCCCAGCCCTCACCCCTGCAACTGTCTCAGGCCCCCTGGGTCTTCAGAGCTACAAGGCTTATCCTCTCTGCAGTCCTGCTCAGACCGCCCTTTGCCCAGACTGTCCCAGCACCTCTGTGGCTGCTTCTCTGTTGCTCCCTCATATCTCACTGTGGTTTCAGAGTATTCACCTTCCTCAGTTCGATTGTAAACACGACAGATTGAAAGACCAAGATTTCTTTTTTAAAAAACTTATTTTCTTTATTAATTTTTTTGGCTGCACTGAGTCTTCATTGATGCACACTGGCTTTCTCTAGTTGCTGCAAGGAGGAGCTACTCTTCACTGCTGTCGGGTTCATGGCCTTCTCCTTGTAGTGGCTTCTCGTTGCAGGACATGGGCTCCAGGGTGTGTAGGCTCAGTAGGTGCATTGCACAGGCTTAGTTGCGCTGAGGAATGTGGGATCTTCCCAGACCAGGGACTGAACCTATGTCCCCTGCATTGTTAGGTGGATTCTTAAGTTAACTTAACTAAGTTAACTTAACTTAACTTACCATTGGACCACCAGGGAAGTCCCAAGGTTTCTATGGGTAGATTTTGGTGCACACAGTAAGTGCTTCGTAAATGGTGGTTTTCTGAAAAGTCACAGGACTTGAATCTTTAGACAGATCTGCTCACTCCAATTGGAGAAGGGCATGGCAACCTACTCCAGTATTCTTGCCTGGAGAATTCCATGGAATTGCCTGGTGGGCTACAGTCCATGGGGTTGCAAAGAATCAGACATGACTGAAGCAACTGAGTCTGTATGCACCCACTCCAATATTGGTGATTGTCTGTGTGATCAGAGAAACAAAAGACCCTCAGCTGTTCATGCTGCAACCTCACTGGTCTGTGTGAATGCTTATTAAGTGGAATAATTGACACTAAGACTGTTTGTGGAGGAATTTATTGTGCTAGATTATGTGTAAATGATTCACCTGAACACCTTAGATCCTTTTTAGAGTGATTACAAATGAAGAAAGCTATTTGTTACCTGATCTGAGCCCTCAGGTTTTCTCAGGCAATTTTGTGCAACAAAATAGAAACCCAGCAAACCAGCTTCTGGTCTCAACTCCCCTGGGTGGCCCAGAGGAGACAGGCTGTCTGGATGAGTGCATTCGGGGCTGCTCCCAGGACAGCTGGCTCTCAGCCCTGCAAATGCAGCACTTCCCAACACCTAGCTGCACACAGCTGCAGTAGGGCCCACCCACGTGGTCACCAAACCTCATGTAATCAAGGTGACTTTGGAGTCTATGGTGAAGCCACTTAGAAATTATTCTTAGTCCACTAGAACTTGAGCAAAAGTGGGTTTGATTGGGCTATGGGTATTTGTCTAATTGTTTTTAAGGCTCTTTGGGCAAGTATACTGAGTTCTAAATAAAAGGCACAGGGAAATTCCTTAGGGCCCATCGATGATCAGTATGTTTTAAGAGGGGGAAAATGCTCTTTGTTCTTTGGGTTTGGGAGTTAACTTACTTCCATCTGTGGTTTATCATCTAAATTTTTCTTCTTTTGTAGGACCACCTGGCCCAGCAGGTAAGAACCTATAGATATTCTGAGTTTGCGGGGAGGATGTGGGTGGCTGGCTCTCCAGGATCCCTCAGAAGGGACTGAGGCAGGGAAGGGGGAAGAGTCCGGAGGCAGTCTTGACAACAGCTGTGTCCCCACCTTCTCTCTACCCTAGTCACCAGCTCTCCTGTTCCCTCCCACTTGAGAGCCTGCCATCACCACTCCCTACCAGTCACTGCTTTGGGGGGTGGTGGAGAAGGTGGGGAAGGAAAGGAGGAAGCAGGGGACGCTCTGGGAGAGGCCTTGATGCCTGGCCAGTCTCACTGGCTAAAGGAAATAACGTTAACTTCAGTGAAAATTTTTTTCAGTGTTCCCATTTCCCGTGTTTTGATGCAGGGCCTCCCGGAGTCAGTGGATTACCAGGACACAACGGATCAGATGGACAGCCTGGTCCCCAGGGCCCAAAAGGCGAAAAAGGAGCCAATGGAAAAAGAGGAAAAATGGGTATTTAGGCACAGTTTTTCTAATTAAATCCCTTGGTTTTTTTGTCTCCACCATTGCATTTTGGATGAGCCAAAGCTGGTGCAGTGGAAAAAGTGCTACATCTTTGAATGCAAGGCTGGTTAAATGTTGCCTGGAAGCTGCTGTGTTCTGGGGCAATAAGGGCCTCCTTTTTGGTCCAACCTTGATGATGGTGTGTGTCCAGGATGCCTGGGAGAAGCAGTGTTCCTGGGAACTGATATCCACTCCTCTGCTTGCTCTGACGCAAACAGACAGATAGAAGGGGCAAGAGTGTCTGTACTGGTACCCCAAGTTCTTTCAACAGTCAGTTCCTGCCCTAGCCAGGGTAGCTGGCAGAGAGGATGAGAGGTGAATGTGATCAAGTTGACACCAGAGAGGTAACACAGTCAAATCAGGTTAGCCCTGGCCATTTTAAGAACCAGGGTTTGTACTCGGCCCCTTGCCCTGCATACCTCCCTGGGCAGCCACACAAGGGAGGCTGCAGGAGGGAAGGGAGGAGGCTGTGAAAAGCCTAGCTCTGTGGACAGGCTGTTGGGAGCATGGCTCAGCCCTCGACCAGCTCAGACTCTAGCCTGGACTGTCTGACTGGAGATCAAGGGCTGTGCTTTCCCTGCCACCCTGCCAAAGCCCCGGGGCTGTGAATGCCTTCCCTTGCTCCCTTCCTGGGCCCAGGATGCATTCTCATCCCACCCAGAGACCAGCGTAATTGCAGGGGGTGGGAGGAGAGGCCAGAGCTGGCAGGACCGCAGAGAAGAACTGGCTTTGTTCTGGGAGTCATGAGAAGCCACAGGGTTTTGAGGAGGAGAGTGACATGATCAGATCTGCCTTTCTGTGATACCCCTACTGGGGGCGGACAAACTAGAGCAAGCATAGGAGCCAAGACAGGGAGACAGGGCAGAGGCTACTCACCAGGCAGGCAGGAGGGATGCAGCTGGGGTGTGCATAGGTTGATGAGCTGAGTGATATTTTGGGGGTAAAATCAGCAGTACTTGGGGAAGGCAAATCTAAGTAGAAAGGGGGAGGGAAACACCAAGGCTGACCCCAAGGTCTTCCTCCTGCCTGACAGCTCTTCCCTAAGATGGAGAGCCCTGGACCGACTTAGGTCCTAATGGGATGTGCTCAGTTTGAAATGCCTTGAAATGTCCAGGACGAGGTGTCAGAGGGCCTTGAAGATGCAGGTCAGCAGTCAGAGGACACCCTGGGGCTCAAGATGTACCTTAGGGAGTCACCCGAGGTGATGGACTTTTGGGCCATGGACCCAGCCCCTTTGGGAGGGAGCCACCCAAGAGGAGAGCCTGGGCCCGTCCAGGAGGAGCAGCAGTATTTAGTGACCAAGTAGAAGGGAGGAGCCAGCAAAGGAGGCCAAGGACAGGCTGAGCAGCAGGAGGATCCCTAGGAGAGGGTGGGAATATTCATCAGCAGGCATTTATTGAGAGGGTTCCCAGTGCTAGTGCGGAAACAAAATAGATGCAGCCCCTATTGTATTGTGGAACTTTCTGTCTTTGGTGGGGAGGCAGACATAAAGTCAACAATCAGATACATCTGTAATCACGGTATGAGGTGCAGAAAGGAAAGAACAGTGTGTTATAAGCAGGGCAGAGAAGGAGGGTCAAGAGTTAATGTCTGAGGTCAGACCTGAGGGACAAGGGCAAGGCAGACAGTGGCCCAAGTGGGGTGCATACACCTGCCAAGGCCCTACTGGGGCAGCTGGGGGAGGGGGCAGCCAGGTGAGGTGGGAGGCAGGGGCCAGGCCCTTCCAGAGCCTTCTGCGTGATGGTCTGGGTCTCTCCGCCAGCCACATGCAGGATGTGACCCTCAGGGCCAGGGTCATGGCCATGAAAAAGGAGGGGCCATCATGTCAGCAGAGAGCTCCAGGATCTTTAGTGGTTTGGCAGGCAGGGTTGGGAGAAGGGAGGAGTGGGCATCCCTTCCAGAAAGAGGGAACAACAAGTGCTTTTTCCAGAAACAGGCTAAAGAGCCCGTGTTCCACAGAGATAGGACTGGGTTAGGCTCTGCCCTCTAGCAGTGATCTCTGAACAATGGTATATATTAATAGCTGACATTCACTGTCAGGCACTCTACCAAGTCCTCTCTACATTTACCTCATTGAGTCTTCACGACAGCCCCATGAGATGGGAATCTTTGCTGGCCTTATTTTTCCCAGATGCAGAAGAAGTCTCATCTTTCCATTTTCCAAACAGGCCCGGGCCCTCTGTACCAGGGCGTGTGCACTGCTGTGCCCCAGCCCATTCCTCCCCTGGAGCAATCGCAGCTGATACCTCCCCTCCTCCTCCTGTTCAAGATCGCCCCTGGCCTCCGTGTCTGGTCCCTGCCTCACCAGCTGTTACATCCCCTGCTCTCTTCCGAAGCATCGATCTCTCCCTGAAATCCTGTCCTCGTGTTGCTCGCTGATGTGCTGATGGTCTGGCCACCCAGGGAGAACGTGAGGTCCACGAGAGCCAGGCTCTGGAGCCTGGTGCACCCAGTGAAGGCAGCAATCAAGTCATTGTTGAACTAGCGGACATAACATGCCCCGTGTCCAAAAGCTAATAAGCATAAGAGGCAGGCTTGACTCCAGGCCTTGACTCCTGGACCCCTGCTCTTAAACACGACAGCACTGAACACTTTCAGGCTGGAGAGGGTTGAGTCCAAGAGGCATTACCGGAGGTGCTACAGAGCAGGAGCAGGAGGAAGGAAGCCCGGGCACTGGGAGCTAGCATTATTAATTGTCTAAGGATGTTGCCGAGCCTCATTGTGAGTCTCACCTGGAGGGTGGGAGGGCGCCAGCCCTTCAGAGAAGCCCACAGGACACAGGCAGGATGCACACTTCATCAAGTACCCACGTGTGAGGCAGAAAGAATTATTCCTGCTCTACAAGCAGAAGGGAGCCAGGAAAGGCGTTCTGGGAGCACCTGCCTTGCGCTCTGACTGGCTTCGAGGGCCTGGGTCTCCTCACCTGTACACTGAGGAGCAGGGCTTCCAACAACTCTTAACGTGGCTTCCAGTTTTGAAATAGTCTGCTGCAGTGTTTGTCTGAGAAGGAGAGACTCTGCCTGTGTATCCTGTTATTTGACACAGCTCTCAGCCAACCCCAGCTGAGGCTCAGTAAAGAACTGATGAGTGAAGAATGAAGGAATGAGAACAGTAGGACATGGTTTCTGTCCATAAGTGCTTGCAGTCCTGTTGAAAGAGAAGATAGAGTTTATATACAGCATGAATCCTGTAACTGGTTATTCTGATATGAAGATGCTTTATACTCTACAGCAGGGAATGCTGCCAGAAGAAAAATCTGAAGTTAATTGTGCAGATAATGGACAAACAGGATCCTGTATAGAGGATGGGTTGTACCATAGAGCTAAGTGTAAAGGACAAGAAAGAGACGTGTGATCCACACCTTGGAAGTAAATAGAGGGGAAATGGGGAGGGCACTGCAAGGAGAGCAGGGAAAGGCCCTACTTGGAGGAACTGATAGGGAGGCTGGCCCTGCCTATGAGAAGGGCCCTGGGTGAGGATGGTGGGGTGGGGAGGGAGCAGGGGTTTCAGCTCTGTGTCTGCAGGAGGCAGCCAGGAGCCACTGCGGGCTCTAGAGAAGAAGACTAACCTAATGAGACCAGAGTTTAGAGCTCCAGACCAACAGTTGTTTCCAGGATATTGAAATATTAAGCTAACCCTCACTTTCTGATTTTAGGAATGCTAAGAGCAAGAGTGGAATAGGCCAGAATCAGAGCGTGAAGTCTTGGTTTGGATCCCAGCTCTTCTGCTTACTAGCTGTGTGCACTTGGGCAAGTTACTTAATCGCCCTGTTTCCTTAACTGGAAAATGAGAATAGTAATAGTGTTTTTAGGAAGGTTAAATTTATATATATATTTAAATTTATATATATATATATATATATATATAAAGTGCTTACAATAGGGCCTGACACAGAGCAAGTGCTGCATTAGTTTTAGATATTAAGTGGTAGTGTTGTTTCAAAGGGTGGGGAAGGAAATCTGATTGGAAATGCCTACATTTATTTGAAAACATCAACTTAGACTTAGAGAGAATTGGACTTAAACGTCGTCCGTTTTGCAAACAGCGTCTTTTCCGAAGTTTGACGTGCTATGCCTCAAAACCAAGCATTTTCTTTCTTTCCATCTGCCTCTCACTTTCTCACTCGAGAATTAATGCTTCAGTGTTTTCTCTAAAAATTGAGTCCCCACAAAAACAGAAATAAACATCCTCCTCCTTATTCATCCCAGCCTTGGGTCTGGGTTTTGTATAACACCCTCAGCTCCCATCTCCTCCGCCTCAGTGGGTGACAGATGGTGCTGCCAAAAATAAGGTGTCCTCCTTCACCTCCTGCAGTGAAGGTGATGGCGTTGACCCCACTTGATCTCACAACCCCAGACTCTGGGAAAATGACTTGTTTTGAGGGGGCACTGCCGACGGGAAAGGAAAACAGCAGAAAGCCACACCCAGCACCCGAGCAAGGCGAACAGAGTCTGGCCTTTCTTCTCCAGCAGAATGTGCTGACTCCAAGCCTGCCAGCAGTCATGGGACAGACACTGCCCTGATCCAGGCCACTCAGTGTTTAACAGTGTCCCTGCCCATGGCCAAGTCAGGGAAGGCAGACAGTACCACATCTGGCTCCTTTGACAGCAAACGTGATGAGATGGTGGTATACTTCACGCCATGGCCAGGGCACGGTCAAGGTGGTTGCACCAACCAAGAAGAGGGAAAAGTTTGTGGAGGCAGCAAAGACTGTACATAGACAAAACGTCCCCTCCCTTTTCCTGAAGAAAGCTTAAAAGTGATCATGTGCACACGCAGCTGAGTGTCAAAATACACCAATGAGCAAAAGTCCTTAATATCCTGAGCATTAAACACCAGCCCCTGTGCATTATGACAGCTGTGAGAATGTTCTGTTTCACACCTGGCCTTTTTGAGAAAGGGAAAAAATGCATAAAAGGAAGGAATAAAAGAAGAGGAAATCGAATGATGATGCCAAAGGCTCTTTGTGACTAGAATAAATGCCTGAAAAAGAAAACCCTCGAGTAACTAGAAGATACCATTTCCCTGAGCACTGCTGAATGTGAGTCACACGACACCTTTCGAAGGTGTCAGTTATTTTCTGGTGCATTGTGCCGGCTGGACTATGGCAACGTTCTCATCTTTTGTGTCCTTCAGATAATGTGCCAAATTGCCTATTTAAAATACTGACAAAAGAATGTCCGCTCGTGCAGAGGGTCCCTGATTAAGGGCTTTTCAGTGAGTGAACCGCTTTCCAGAAAGATGTCCTGATAACTGTGGGATCTCAGTGTGCTGTGAGATGCACTGTGGGACCTGCCCACCCCCTCAACCATGTGACTGACTCCACGGCAGAGCCTCCAGTACCCACACTGCAGGAGCTGCCCTTGCTTTTCTTCACATGCTCTTCCACTGTGTCCCCAGCAATTCCATTGGCAGAAATTGAGCAAATGTTTCCCTGTTTGTTGCGTTTTTTAACACTTTCAGGTTCTTTCATACACTGCTGTCTTCCTTGGGATGGTCTGTGTAGGTGCCTTTGAATCTGAAAGAGCTTATCACTCCTTTGGCATAGAGAGAATGTGCTAGGAGTGCCAGTTGCACATTTTAGGGAATAATGGGCTAGTATGGCGGTGCAGGGTATTCCAGCGCCATCTGTGGTGTAACATGATTTATTAATAATATCCTCCCCATTGCTGCAAGGGCTTGAGAAGAGCCAATCAGGTGGGGTTGAGAGGTGTTCAGGGTTGGATGGGAGGCTAATCTAGATGACCTCTAAGGTGCCCTCCTATCTGAAATTCTATGATTCTCTTGGGATGGTTATATCAGAATCCTGTGTAGCTGGTAGGAAGTTGGGGGTGGGGATCAGAATTGGTTTTAAATCTGGAGGGAGGACAGTTGCAATGTCATGGAATGACAGTTGGGGAATGGGGTCTGGCCAAACTGGTGGGGCAGTCACTCAGACAGAACCTTTAAGAAGGGGCTTGGGATTGGCCACATAATTAGAAAAAGCAATGAATCCTAAGAGCTGTTGGTTATAGAGGTTGAGAGAAACTGAAGTTTTTCACTGAAATGTGCCTCTGGCTATTCTCTGTTGCCTGAAATCTCTGCCCCTTTGAAAAATATCTCTGTTGAGTGATATCTCCAGGAGGCTCTTGTCAAAGTGAACAAACAATGCCTGCAATGGGATATTGTATTAATTCATCCACATCTGGCAATATCTTTGCACATAGTAAGCAATCACTTTCCCTCTTAGTATCCCTAGGTGCTCGTAAGTTCTAGCAGCTTTTTAATAAATTTTCTACATAAATAATCATATCATATATAAAGACAGTTTTAATTCATCCCTCTCCAATCTGTTTGCCTCTGTTTCTTTTCCTTTGCTTTATTGTGCTTTATTTAAAGTGACAAGAATATGTACCATTGTCTTGTTCCTGATCTTAGGGGGAAAGCATTTAGTCTTTCATTATTAGGGATGTTGTTGTTGTTGTTTAGTCACTCAGTCATGTCTGATTCTTTGTGACCCTATGGACTGTAGCCCACCAGGCTCTTCTGTCCATGGCAAGAATACTGGAGTGGGTAGCCATGCCCTCCTCCCAGGGATCTTCCCAACCTGGGGATCATACCCGAGTCTCCTACATTGGCAGGAGAATTCTTTCCTATCTGAGTCACCAGGGAAGCTCCAGAGATGATGTTAGCTGCAGGTTCTTTTCATAGATGCCCTTTTTCATGTTGAGGACATTTCCTTCTATTCCTAGGGTGATGAGAATTTTTATTCAGAATAGGTATTGAATTTTATCAAATTTCTTTTCTATATCCATCAAGATGATCACGTAATTTTTTCCTTGCTTAAATTATTAATATGCTATATTACATTGACAAAATGATTCAGATTTTGAATTCTATCCTGGCAGGCAGTTAAGCTGCTTCAGTTCAGTTCAGTTCAGTTCAGTCACTCAGTCGTGTCCGACTCTTTGTGACCCCATGATTCGCAGCATGCCAGGCCTTCCTGTCCATCACAAACCCCTGGAGTCTACTCAAACTCATGCCCATCAAGTCGGTGATGCCATTCAGCTATCTCATCCTCTGTCGTCCCCTTCTCCTCCTGCCCCCAATCCCTCCTAGCATCAGGGTCTTTTCCAATGAAAACTCTTCACATCAGGTAGCCAAAGTATTGGAGTTTCAGCTTCAGCACCAGTCCTTCCAATGAACACCCAGGACTTATCTCCTTCAGGATGGACTGGTTGGATCTCCTTGCAGTCCAAGGGACTCTCAAGAGTCTTCTCCAACACCACAGTTCAAAAGCATCAATTCTTCGGTGCTCAGCTTTCTTTATAGTCCAACTCTCACATCCATA